ACTCCGCCCCGATTTCCTCGGAATCGGTTCCTCGGAGACAACCCCTTCCTCGGAATCGGTGGAGTGTCGAATGTTCGGGGTCTCAGTACGGTGGAGAGGCGGAAGAAAACGCGCTCTGTTGCGAATATCATAACGCGCGAAATTTGAGAGTTTGAACACAAGACGCCCGCTCGTTTCGTTTTTGTTTGCTGATTTTATTGTCGGCTCATCACATTTTTATCGATTCCTTGACATAAAATGGCGTTCGAGTTTGATTTAGAGGAATTCAACGACCAACTCGCACTATTCAACCTAACATGCCCGGATAACGAACAAATCGTTGAGAAATGTAGGTCCAATTTTTGAAATTCGCGAATGAATTATCAAGTCCTATTTTCAGTGGAAGAATTGTGTAAATCGTTTCGCAAAACGAGCGATGACATTTGCAATGATATCGTTTCTGTGATGAACAACGATGGAAAGACAGTTATCGACAGAAATATCCTTGCGAAACTGGAAGAAAGATTCGAAGCGGAAACCAAGAAGGTTATAAACACACCAAGATCCATGAAAAAACCTGTGAAATCAGTGTATGAAATTCAATGTTTTTGAGGCTGAAATTTTCGTTAATTCAATTTTCAGGCGAGTGCCTCTTTCTGAGAGAAGCGAGTTCATCTTGAGCGGAGGTCCAGGGGACGATGAGAAGCCACATCACATGTCGAACACAGCATTCACGAAACTCGAAGGACACTTTCTAGAGTTCTCGCCTTTCCCAAATTCTCCGGCTAATGAGAAGTTCCTGAAGCGATCGGATCCAGGTCTCGTTGTCAGTGCGATTCGAGGAAGAAAGTTCCAGGATAAAGGATTGAAGGGAGGCGCCAAACACGATGATAAAGTCAAAATTGTCTCGAAACTCCCGAACAATTTTTACGGAGGTGACAAGTCGTCAATGGTGATTGATGGTTTGTTTTCTTTTTCCAAAGGCAATCGTTTAAAATAAGGAACTTTCAGCAAAATCCACGAGGATGTCGGAGTTTGCAAGACGGCTGCAAGCTACAAACGAGGAAATCGCCGACTGGGGAAATCCTCTGGTTCCTTCAGTGGATTTCGTGTACACTTATGGCCAGATCGTTCACGACGACACCAGAGATAACGAGAAGTTTGGAGAGAATTCAGTGGCTTTGATGATCAACGACGAAGACGGAACGATGATTCGGCTGAATTTTAGCAAAGTCACAGAGGACGTCACTCTGTTCCCCGGACAAATTATCGCTGTTCGTGGAACCAATGAGACCGGTGAAGAGTTGCAAGTTGATCGAATCTTCACACCCAAAGCACTGCCAGTGAACCCTGTAGAAACTGATATCACAAGTTGGTGCACGATTCTTATATGTCTTATCATTAAACTTCGTTTTTCAGAAGACATCTGGTTTGCCTGTGGTCCTTACACAGCAATGGATAACTGTGGGTACGAGCACCTCTGTGAATTACTGGATCAAGTGGTGGCCGAAAAGCCAGATATTCTCGTCCTCGCTGGACCATTTGTAGATAGAAAGAACACGTTTCTGAACAAGCCAAATTTGACAATCACCTATGATAACCTGATGGAAGATCTTCTCTGTAAGATTAAAGAAAAGCTTGTGAAGTGAGTGAATTCATATCATTATATAAAACATGGCTTAACGTTCATTTTCAGTACGAAAACCGAAGTGATCATCCAGCCAAGCTCATCTCGGGATCTATGCACTCCATCAGTTTTTCCAAGTCCCGCATTCCGGTTCAAGAGCCGAAAACTGGATATGATCAAGAAGGAACTTCACTTTGTTCCGGATCCCTGCATTATCCGCATTGGTCAAAATGGCGTCGACATGGCAGTGACGAGCAGTGAGCCGATTCAAGGATTGAGCAATTCGGAATTTCATCGATCCATCAACCAGGAAAACAGTGATCGTATCGCTCGACTCTGTAGTCATTTGCTCACTCAACAGTCATTGTATCCACTGGAACCAACAGAAATTCCATCGTCGTTGGGTGATCTTCTGGAAGTTTGCCAGCTCACTTCTACTCCACACATTGTATTCGCACCAACCAAACTCGCTTCTTCCGCCAAGAAAGTGAATGGAAGTGTCTTCATAAATTCATCGACACTTGCCAAGGGTCCAACTGGAAACTATGTGAAAATGTCAATCAACCTGAACGCAGGAGAGTTGGGCCCATTCGAAACAGTCGCGGATTATGCTAACATTCAAATTATGAAAATCTAACGTTTTGATTTATTATTTTTTGCCTTTTATTTTTGAATTTTACAGCTGTAAAATAAAATTTTTTTGACTTTAATTCAAGTAATACTGATTTATAGATCGATACTCATGGTATGTACAAAAACAATTATGCAAAAAAAGGCACAACATAAAGCAAAGTGAACAACCTGATTGTGCAATAATTTACGGTAGAGATGCGCTCATTGCAGGGGAGCGAAAACGGTTTTTTTTTGGATTTTCAACGGGAACCCGTTTGTGGGGAAAAGAAACTGGTATAAAATAGATCTACTACCGTATATTATTTGGAGGGAATGGACAAGAAAATTAAATCATCTTTGGAGGGAAAAAATTATCACATGTGACCGTAACTGGCATGTATGATGGCTTGTTCGGGAAGGCGATCGTCGTTAACAACGAGATGAAGAGCAGTATGACAATGACTGTCGACGGTTTGGATGGAGCCTGAAAACAAAGTTTACTGATTATTTGTTTGTCAAGACCGTTTTCTATGGGAATGTTCTCTAGGGCGCATACATTTAAACGCACGGCATCGCAGAAGGGATCCCCATATTGAAAATTGACAACGAGCCAATTGTGAGTAGCGGCTCAGCAAGGCTTAAGACACTTTCATTTTCAAATTAAGTTTTGGACGTTTTAAACTTGCGCGCAGCCAAAATTTGCGACAAGAATGTGCAACGAAGCGCAATTGCTTCGGGTGCCCGTTCGCGATGTCGTGTAACCGTTTTGCGGTAAAGCGTTAATTATTCAGAAAATTAGTGAGCCACGAAGACGATGAGAGTTAGCACAAGCAAACTCTCCTGCCGCTCTTCTTCTAAACGGCTCTTCTGATAAGTGGCTCAGGTTCATCGGCTCCTCTGGCTGCTAATTTTTGATTTCGCCGCCTCACATTCCGACGCCATGCACCTTTTCCTACAGTAATATACTAGCCCTATTAGTTCTATTAAGAAACTATTTAAAATTACTAACCAGCGTTATCCAGGTCTGATGGACGGTATGTCATATAACCGATGATTGTGGCGAGTATTGAGAGAAGTTTGCAGACAATGGCTGAAAATTGAATATTGAAAAAAAAATACGATCTCCGAATCAGTTTACCTAGTCCAGTGATTGTCCAACTAAGCTTGAAGGGATCGTAAACAAGACATGAAGTAGCTTTTCCACAACTCTCTCCCCATTCCAAACAGGCTGTATCGATAATGACTCCAAACAATATTCCACCTGGAATGAATCCCAAAAGACGAACAAAAGTCCAATTGACACCAAGAGCAAGGGTTCTTTGATCGAATGGAACTACTCGGAGCATGATTTGTTGAGTAGGGATTCCAGAAGCAAAACTAGCAACAACAGTGACGAAAAGTGTAACCATTAGAATATACTCTCTATAGCCACAGTCTTGATGACAGTATCCTTGATTTAATACCTCTGGATGCTCTTTGATTCCATGAATCAAATTGTGGAATGTACTATTCGAAGTCAGACATCCACAACCAGACCATTCGGTTGATCCCTAAAAAAAGTTAATTTAGTTGTTTTTCATTCTTTTTTTCTTTAATTTACCTGATTCTTTGTCATTCCTGTGCATCCAGCGTGGCATGCCGAGTAGTACATGTGTCCTGTGTTTCGATCACAAACTGGATTCCATTCCATCTTACAGTGACATTCTGAGTTGCATCTGGAGGAAATGCTGAAGTCGTGCGACTTCTCGATGCTTCTGGAAAATAGTTACAGTAATCTTCGGATTTCGAGCCCGAAATTTTTTCAAACCTATTTGAATATATCCCTAAAAAATATTAGGACACCAGGATTTACAGATAAACAGCTTTTAAAATTTATTTGATTCTGGTGTTATGAAAATCCAAGATTCCGAATTTGCGAGACTGGGATTTTGGAAGTTTCACAACTACCTAGATTTCAAACTTTAAAAAACCGACGCCAACAAAAATTGCTCTAAATCAAACTCTTCCTAAATGTTTTCCTTTTCAGGCATACCGTATTTGCTCTAATACTTGCCCACCCAAACCGTCAACTTTGAGCTCAATTATCTCGGTTCCTTCAGAAGATATCAGAAAATGTTCAACGGATAAATTATTTATCATAATATCACCATTATTTTACCAGTTTACAAATTTTTGATATCTCTCATAGGAACCGAGATAATTGAGATCAAAGTTGACGGTTTGTGTGAGCTCCTATTAGAAGAAATACGGTAGATTCCAAACTCTTTTTTTTCTCAAAAATCAAAGCCAAGAAAAATTGATTCAAATCCAAATGTTTCTGAATGTTCCTTTTCAGAAACAACTTTAAAACTACAGTAATCCTTCCAATCTATGAACTACAGTAGACTTTCACTGTAAACTTACAAATCTTCATATCCCAAATTGATTCCAACAAACTCTCTTTGTGGACAATGACTCAACAATCCAGTTGTAAAAATCAAGGCTATCACATGGCACACAACAATCATCTTGAGCATCCCTCCGACCTAAAAAATGCCTTTTTCTAATTCTGTTTTTGTCATTTTTTGATTCCCATCGTTTCTTCAGAAAACTCAAATTGACCTTTTTCCGTCATCTCTGCCACTTGACAAGTTTTTGAAGACAAATTTTTGTTCTCTCTCTCTTTAAGTTTTTTTGTCCGTTTTAATGGAATAATTGGATTTGAGTAGACACAATCACACAATTAAATGCATTGGTTTGGTGATGATGGGAAAAAGGAGGATCAAATTTAGTTGAGAGACAAAAAAAAGACCATGTGATTGAGAACATAAAAGAGAAAAGAAAACAAAATAGCGATTTTGAATGTTCTTTGCGCTTTTCTCTTATCAAGTTCTTTTTGATTAAATACCGTAAAACCTGTAATAGAAAAGCCAAATTTGAGCTCATTTTTCTCGGCTTCTATGATAGATATCAAAAATGTCTCAACTGATAAAATATTTGTGATATTTCGATAAACAATTTATCAGTTGACAACTTTTTTATATCTTTAACAGGTACCGAGATAAATTCGCTCAAAGTTAGGGATCCTACTATTACAGGGTTTACGATACTAAGAATGGCAGAATTTGAATCACATGGTGATAAATTAAACTTAAAAAAAAAATGTTACCTGAAGTTTCAGCTGGCGAATAATCGTTCCTCCAACCATTACTCCGGTAGCAGCAGCAAAAATTACAACGGCTGAAAATTAAAAACAATTAGAATTCCTGATTCCTGTTAAATAAAAATTACATGAAAGATAAGAAGCCAGAGTTGGATTCGTGGACAGCAATGTCTCGAGAATCTTAGGCATAAATGCAGCGAATCCATTGATGATGATGGATTCAAAGATTCCCACAAAGATGCAGACTAGGAAGGTTGGGTTGGATAGGATTTTCTGGGATTTTTTAGAGTTTGATTAATAGATTTTGGTTCTTCTGATTCTTTGCTGCTAGTTTCGCTTAAAAATGCTCACCCAAACACAAGCTGGCAATTTTGTTAAATCTCTTGGTGCTTTTGCATTAACATCTCCATTAGCTGCATGACATTGATTCACATCTTTGGCTCGATGTCTCTTTGCTTCTGGAAGTTCCCGAGCAAATGCCAGAATAGGGAATGCAATCATTAAAGCCGAAATTGACGAAATAATAAATCCGACCCACCAAGCACCGACCCATCTTGGATCGGATCTCTCCATTGGGATTCTTAAATTAAAACGATGAAGTGGAGAATCCAGAAATATTCTAGCTTACGTATCAACTCGATCGAAATCATCATAAAGATTCAAAAGAAATCCTCCTGCGAAAACTCCTATAACTGGACCAAAAGAAGTTAGAACAGCATGAATTGCGAGATACACTGGTGACGCCTTCTGAGATACATTCTCATCCATATAAGTGGTTCCAATGGAGAAAAGAGGAGTCGATCCGACGCCATGAAGTGTTTGTCCCAGAATAAACATCCAGAAATATGGATTAAACCAAGAGGAGTGAGGTTTTCCAGCACATTCAGGGTCATCTCTGTTTGTACATTGTCCGAAATCGGTTTGATTCGCTAGAGAGTTTCCGTCTGGATGGTAGATATCAACCATCCAGTGAGGAAGAGCACAAATTAAAGATCCCAAGGCCATGATCACACCACCCCAACCGATCCAACGTCCTTTGTGTCCGTTGTTTCCCCAGTGACATACTGGAAAAACGACAAGGAGGACTGCAAAGTCATACCAACTAGAAATGATTCCGGTGTGGGTACTGAAATAAATTTGAATTTTTTCTTTTTCGAAAGTTTTAAAACACTTGCCTTGTCATTTTGAATCTTCTTTCCAATGTTGATAAACCAACAGGAAAAATGGCATTTACAACAAAACTCTGAAACAAAACAAAAAATAATAAAAGGGCACACACTGTCAAGTTTGTGCTCAATTATCTAACTTTCTGTAAAAAATACCAAAAAGGTGTCAACTGATACAGTGTTTATCAAAATATCAAGTTGACAACTTTTTAAAATATTTGAGAGGAATCGAGATAATTGAGCTCAAAGTTGACGGTTTGCTTGGGAAGAAATACGGTAAACTAGGAATCCAAAGAAATTAAACGTTCAATCTCGATTTTTAGATATTTTTCTAGACTATTCAAAAATATTTCCAGTCAAAAAAATCCTATTTTACCTGAATAAAAGCGCATATTCCAAGAACTAACAGCAAACATTTTGCATTATGGAATCCCTGAAGCCATCTGGGAGTACAAGCTCCATATCCACACAATAGCTTCTCCGCATCGTCTTCATCTTCGATTTTGTGTTTTAAACTCTCGCCGGGCTCCTCGAAATCATTCACATTGTGCTTCTCCATCTAAAAGAAGGACGTGAAACTTTGAAAAATGGAACAGGAACAAAAATTTCAGACACAATAATGTGTTTGTTATGATGGGATTGGCAGGCGGGAAAAGAGAATTAAAAAGGTGTTCCAGTCATCATAAAAAGGTTGGGAATTGGTATTCAATTTGTTATTCAAATAGAGTAGGTGCAACCCAGCAGTACAGAATTGAAAAAAAGGAGAAGAAGAAGAGATTCTGAATTTGAGGGGGGTTGGAAAAAAAAGTGAAAATGACAAAAAGTTATCACAAGTTGATGGGCAGAAAAAGGAGAGAGAGAGAGAGGCGGAGTAGAATGTTCGCAATGGCGTTGTCGACTGATGGAGAGAAAGAGAGAAGAAGAAGTTATTTCAAAGATTCGTGGCTTGTTATGGGTACGGGAAAAATAGAGAAGAAGATGGCGAAAAATGTGGTGTAATTAGTGTTGATGAGTTGATGAGGTCCTCTTTTTAAAAACGATTTTGGGAAAAAGAGATCATCCTAAAAGATCAGAATACCAACTTTGAAGATTCCAGCAAATTCTTGGGAAGATTAGTCTGAATTACAGACCCCTGACTAATACGAACCAACATGTAACAGTATTGATAACGTGTAGTTCTGTAACTGGGACTAGAAGTAATCAATCATTTAAAACTAGACAACTGAAAAAATGTGTTATGGACGGGGGAAAGTTTTTGTATTTTTTAAATTATGTATTTTTATTATGTATGGATTATGTGATTAAGCTCTATCTTATGCGGAGCTCTATCTGAAATAAGGTTGACTTTTTTTGGTTTTCCGGACTATAAAAAAATATGTGGATTACCCATTTCGGCTACCTTACTTTTGCCCATAGAAACCGCCAGCTTTGAGCTCAATTATTTTGATTAATATAAGAGTTATCAAAAATTCGTCAACTGATAAAACTTTTTTGATATTAAGATAAATAATTTATCAGTTAGCACATTTTTCATATCTCTTGCAGGAGCCGAGATAATTGAGTTCAAAGTTAACTCATAGGGTAGGATTCTATTAGAGGAAATAAGGTACCCATTTTGACTAAATTGAAAAATCTTCCGTATAAAAACTACTCGGTTTTGGGATACTTTTGAAACCAGACCCTTTTCATTTTCAAAAAATCTTATATTTTCCGAGATTAAAATGATACAAAAGTTGTCGCTTTACAGGTTGCTGTATTGCAAATGTTCACTGTGTTTATCCTTTCCTAAAATTTTCATGAAAAAAACTGTTCTTGAAAGTCCGTTCATGTTCATTCAAGCCTCTCGGGGAATTGAACTTATGGAGCCGCCGATGGAGGTGCTGCGGCGCAACCGACTGAGCTACGGTGGCGCAAGCTGAGGCTGCCAACATATAAAAACGGCACAATAGCTACATGCTGTGTGAACACTAACCGCTGCACACCGACACGTCAGAATACATACTGTAATTCAAAATAGAACTTCAAAAAATTTCCTGTCCTTCTGGAATCTTCGATCTTTCGCACTCAAAACTTCTTTCGTCTAGACATACAAAGACATAGTTAAATCCCCCTCAACTTGACTGATATGATTTGTGAAAACCGGGAACTTAGGGGACGGAGAACAGGTATTTCTCATTCAGCGTTCTTCAAAAAAACACATAATCATCGTCGTCTTTAACCTTTTTCTCTTATTTTCAAAAATCGAGGCTAATTGCTAGAAAAATAAAAGGATTTCATTAAAACAGAAAAGTACACAAACAGAGACATCCAAAATGTGACATTATTTATTCGAAAAGTTGGTCTTGAGAAGACATTGAACTTAGTTTTATGGCCACTAAAAGAGTGTTTTTGTATACTTTTAATGAAAGTTCAACTTCGGGTGGGGACCGGAAAATGACGATAATGGAGAAATCACGTTTTGTTTGGGTAGACATGGATATATTTTTGGAAGGAGGAGGAGAAGAACATCCGAAATGATGGAGAATATAAATCACCGGAAGAATTGAAATATAATTATGTGGATGTTTCAAGTTTTTTGATCTGTAATGATGAGAACGTGAGGGAGGAGGGAATACGGTAGTCTGGGAGATAATAAGGGATTTTTCTCAGAATCTCAGGATCTCAGAATCTCAGAATCTCAGAATTTCAGAATCTCAGAATCTCTGGATTTCAAAAGTTCGGAATCTCGGAATATCAAAAGTTCGGAATCTCGGAATATCAAAAGTCAGAATCTCAGAATCTCAGAATCTCAGAATCTTTGAACCTCTGGATTTCAAAAGTTCGGATTCTCAAATTCTCTGAATCTCTGAATCTCTGGATTTCAAAAGTTCGGAATCTCGGAATATCAAAAGTTCGGAATCTCGGAATATCGAAATTTCGGAATCTCAGAATCTCAGAATCTCAGAATCTCAGAATCTCAGAATCTCAGAATCTCAGAATCTCAGAATCTCAGAATCTCAGAATCTCAGAATCTCAGAATCTCAGAATCTCAGAATCTCAGAATCTCAGAATCTCAGAATCTCAGAATCTCAGAATCTCAGAATCTCAGAATCTCAGAATCTCAGAACCTCAGAATCTCAGAATCTCAGAATCTCAGAATCTCAGAATCTCAGAATCTCAGAATCTCAGAATCTTTGAACCTCAGAATCTCAGAATCTTTGAACCTCTGGATTTCAAAAGTTCGGATTCTCAAATTCTCTGAATCTCTGAATCTCTGGATTTCAAAAGTTCGGAATCTCGGGATATCAAAAGTTCGGAATCTCGGAATATCAAAAGTTCGGAATCTCGGAATATCAAAAGTCAGAATCTCAGAATCTCAGAATCTCAGAATCTTTGAACCTCTGGATTTCAAAAGTTCGGATTCTCAAATTCTCTGAATCTCTGAATCTCTGGATTTCAAAAGTTCGGAATCTCGGAATATCAAAAGTTCGGAATCTCGGAATATCGAAATTTCGGAATCTCAGAATCTCAGAATCTCAGAATCTCAGAATCTCAGAATCTCAGAATCTCAGAATCTCAGAATCTCAGAATCTCAGAATCTCAGAATCTCAGAATCTCAGAATCTCAGAATCTCAGAATCTCAGAATCTCAGAATCTCAGAATCTCAGAATCTCAGAATCTCAGAATCTCAGAATCTCAGAATCTCAGAATCTCAGAATCTCAGAATCTCAGAATCTCAGAATCTCAGAATCTCAGAATCTCAGAATCTCGG